ACTATCTCAGGAACTGGTCGCACAAGGGGGCTATCCCAAAAAATTCTATTTTGAGAAAATTGAAGGTAAAGTTGTTGGACCCGTATTCAGTTTCTTTAAAAGACAAAGAGCGTTTTCTCTATAACCAAAGAAATATAGCATACACACCAATGAAGCCAAACTTCCCATTTAGGCAGGGCAATGCCCATTTTTGGTGAAGGTTTCTGGAAACCCCCGAAATCTGGTTGTCTAATATTGTAATTTCCCTTGAAATATGAATGCCGACCAATTAATTCAGCAAACTGGTTTTCAAAAAAGTAATCAATTTATTTAACCAAGTACCCGCCCCCCCCCGCCCGTCCCCCTAGAAAGGGAAAAAGGATCTTGGCTTGAGCACATACACGACACAACCTTTTACCCAGAAAGTAGCCATACACACAACCAGCCACATCTTTGATGACAGGTTTAAATCCCGTTCTAAATTTCCAAATTATTATTTATTCATGGCTCCTTGTAGCGACTGGCGAGTTATGCCATACATAAATACATGTACTAATTTGGGTTTTCATACAGTCTATGCATTGTTTAGATAATATACACTGTGAATACAAAGGAAACAACAACAACAGCAACAACAACAGCAGCAGCAGCAGCAGCGACACCCCAAAAAAAAAATAGTGAGGCATGGATACAGATGTTTGTCTGTAGGCCTACTTTGTCATCTGCGATAGCTGCTCTTATGTCTTACCTCTTTTAAGGAAGACCCAGGTCAGTGATCCCAGAGAATATCGATAAACGTTTTCAATATAATATATCGATTTTTTTTGCTTTTAGCAGGAACACATTCTTCAACATCTGATTCTGATCTATCGGGTCACAATGATGAAACTGTTGAAAAAAACAATAACACCCTAAATGACCTAAACAGGTGTTTGAAAAGTGCATATTAAACTAAAAATTATCATCTTTAAAAATCCCTTTTTTCCTAAAAAATCTGCTTTTTCACGTGACCTCCTTGGTGCAAGGAGTTTAGAAACAACCACTGAAGCTAGAAGCTTCAAATTTGGCTCACAAGTGCTGTACTGTAAGATCTATTCATATTCTGTGGAACTATGAAAGAAATTTGGGAAATATTGGTAACTTGTGGAAACATTCACATCTTTTGTAACATAAATCTATACCTCAAAGTTTCGTCAACTGACTCTCGGGAGTCCATCGACTTTAGGCTCGTTCTTTTAATTTATAGAGATAGGTAAAAAAAACCCTCCCCAAAATGACAGTAGCCTTTTTCAACGAGACGGGGCTGTGGCTATTACGTGATTTGATTTCTCTCTTCTGACTGTCGATGTTGTCATCATGATCGATTTTTATCGTGTTGTTGTAGTTTGTTAAATGTCGTGGTTGCGATCGATTCTGTTTTTATGGCTTGGCGGGTACTCTGATGTGGTTTGCTCTTTCCTTCTTTCCTATTAAACATCTATCGTCCTTATCTCCCCTCCTTTTCGTGTTTATTTCTCTCTTGTAGCACCTCTAATCTTTGGCACTTATTTGACCTGGTTATGCTGCAAGTGCCTTGAAGCGCTTATTAAAAAACACGTTTATGTGGTAGTTGGTTTTTATATGATTTCTAGCTGTAAATGTTGTTGGCCTATGAATCCTTTGACACGATTTAGACCATTTAGGAAGCGGGCTTTTTAGCTCTTGGGCTGAGAATTGTAGTAGTACATGTAGCGGCACCAGCAGCAGCAGCAGCAGCAACAGCAGCAGCAGCAGCAACAGCAGCAGCAGCAGCAGCAGCAGTAATAGTAGTAGTAGTAGTAGTAGTAGTAGTAGTAGTAGTAGTAGTAGTAGTAGTAGTAGTAGTAGTAGTAGTAGTTGTTGTTGTTGCTGTTGTTGCTACAATTGTTATTGATGTTGTTCTGTTGTTGTTTGTTCTTTGGCTGCTTTTTGTGGGTTGTTTTTTTTTCAGAAGTTGGCGTTATAGATGTGGTTATTTTCGCAGCAGTTACAGTCGTTGCTGGAGTAAGATCCAAGCAGGCAGACAGAGACGGTCTTTAAATTAATTATTCTTCACGTGTAAGAATACTTCTAGTACGATGATCTCTTTGAAACTTTCAGTATTTCTAAAAATAAAAAAAATCATTTTAACAACAGACTACTATGCAAAGCGTACGGATCGGATTGACGAGAAAATTTCCTCTTTGGAAAGTGATGGCACAGAGTTCCGCAGTGTCATATGGATACGATATTAAAACACGACGTACGAATAGGCTTTAAGGGAATTCAGGTGCAACTGAAATTTCTATCTCCTTCGATTCTCTTACACAATGTCTCATTTATGTTATCACTGTGTTCAACATGCTTATAGGCAATGGTTGGCTATTTGAATGTTTTGAAATCATCATTCATCGACAACTGAGATGTATTTTATATAACGGTTACATACAATTTTTGGACATTGCAAAAATCCCAAGACTTTATATTTTTTCACGCATTTTTTGGGGTGTTATTTCGTATGACCATCAACAACTACAACACAAAACTTTTGTTGAGAAGAAAACTGCTTGCTTGAATTAGTTTTGTTTTAGCAGCTTATAAATTTGTGTGCTGTATAAAAAAGAGAAAAATTTTAGGGGGTAGGGTATTATACTAAGAAAACCCCCCCAAACAAAACAAAACAAAAAAACCCCCCAAAAACCAAAAAAGACTATGCTTGTATAATGTTGACAAAATGTTGCTATATGGGTGTAAAGACGTCTTGCAAAATTTGAACCCTGTTAGTAAAAAAAATAAATGTGGAAGCCTTTGTACTTTTAGTACTAAAATCTCACGGAATGAGACAATTAACGTAATCCGTAAAAATAGTGTTAAAAAAAGCAACCTTCATATAATAGTCCTCTTGGTTTCCCTGGAATGACGATTTTAACCGTTCAAATTCTTATCTATAACCCTGAATTAAACCAAAGACAGTTATAACAGCTAATGCTGTACAAATGGGAAATTTAGAAAAAGAGCTCCAGTTTTGTTGCACATTCACTTAACCGTATCCATACGTCGTGCTTTACTATCATATCCATACGACGTGAGGAACTCTGAGCCATCACATTCCAAAGAGGAAATTTACTCGTTAATCCGACCCGTATGCTTTGCATAGCAGTCTGTCAAAATGATCTTTTTAAAAAAAGAAATACTGAAAGTTTCAAAGAGATCTTCGTCTTTGAAGCATTCTAAAATGTGAAGAATACAACCACGGGGTACAAAATGACCCCAGGGCGTTCAATAGGGTTAAATGAAAATGGCATTTAATCCGTTTTGCCTGAGAAGATTCTCTTTCTTTAAGTAGATGTTTTATGTCTCCGTCCACCTCATCTACATCAACTCTGCTTTCTGATTCCGACCCTGTCAGGGCCAACTTGAGCGAAGGGGTATACAACGCCCAAGCAACCCCCCCCCCCAAAAAAACAAACAAACAAAAAAACCCCACAAAAAAACCCAAAAAAAAAACAACAACAAAAAACCAACAACAAAAAAGAAAAAAAAAGCCGAGATACATATAATCGATAAAAATTTTCCTCACATGGGAATCGAACTCCCGTCCTCTGCATGCACCGATGGAGCGACTAACAATTACACCAAGGGCGTCGGGTGGGTTGTAGTAAGGGTGGGATTTGCCGTGATCAAACATGAGATCACCCAGATTATAAGGAAAGTGTAAAGACTGAAAAGCCAGTCAACCATGTATATAAAAAGACAACGTGAAAATATAATAAATGTATATATTTAAAATATTATAAACTTGGTAGTTGCAATCCCACTTTTGAAGTCAGGAAAAGGAACTGACCGTTGCATCTTTAGGCCCATACATGTATATATATATGATTTGAGCCCTTCGGTTTCTTTGTTGAGCAAATTTGCCAATGACTTTTTGGTTATAGTGTGCATCCTTCATGATGAACTATTCATGGGGGTTCTCGTGGACTAGAGGTTGGTGTCTCATTCCATAGATCCTGGGTTCGAATCCAGAAAGCGACAGAATATTTTCTTGTCTAAAATGTTCTCCTTTCACATCCTGTTCTGCTCTAACCATCTTACTGTTTACTCTTTGGTCTGGCGCCGCGAGGATGTGCAAATTAGGTAGGGTCAAGAGTCAAGTGATGCACAGGCTCGTCAAAAAGCGACTTCAGCCCCCGAGCCGAAGAAAATTAGGCCTGCCAGTTTCTTTTTCTCGGCCTCCAGTCATGAAAGGTCAGTACTCAAGTGATATTCAGTCTGTGGGAACATAACCACCGGGGCTAAAGGGACAAGCCAATGAAATTTCATTCTCTCCAACAGGAGGAGTGCTTGACTGGATGCAGCTACAGTCGTAGCAATAGTAGTAGATACCCATACAAATCAGATCGCTTTTCGAGTTTCTTTTGAGCCTTCGTGGAGTGACGCTTTTTCGGATTAATTTTTTGGCCCTTTTCAAAGTTAAGATACATGTTTTGTTTTGATTTTAGTCAACAGAAATAACCTTTTGGTGCAGAAGACTAGGAGGGGCTGATAAAGCTGCTAGCCCCAACCCATCAGACGCCACTGCATTACACCACATACGCCAGAGACTGCTTCTGACGAGAAGTGAAGACTTTGAACAAGTCTACAAAATAACCCTTAGCCAATCTATCCTACAGACGCTGCAACAAAAGACACAGAAATAGATGAACACCCCCCTCAACATACACCCTTTTCTCTCTCTCTCTCTCCCTCCCCCTCTCCCTCTCTCCCTCTTTCTGTCTCTCTCTCTCTTTCTCTCCCTCCCTTTCCCTCTCTCCCCCTTTCTGTCTCTCTCTTTCTCTCTCTCTCTCTTTCACTCACTCCCCCCCACCCCCACCTAAATACACATACACACACACACACACACACACACACACACACACACACACACACACACACACACACACACACACACACACACACACACACACACAGATCCACACAAATTACACATACGGCACATCCAATAACTGTGAGCAACAACTATATGACTTTGTCTCCATATCTGGTAGAATTTATTATAAGGGTAGGATATGCGCTATTAGGAAACAGACAAATAAACACATACTCACAGACTCAGTCCTTTACATGTTCATAATCAAGCCAGTATACACATATCTCAAGTGTAAAGAAGGCTTATCATATTTGTCTACATCCTAGATCAGAATTTGTTATAATAATATGAGACTGTCGAGGACAAACTGTTGGCAAGGTTCTCTACGGGACTACCACAATTTGTACAAGACGGGCTCCCCTGGTGGTGTGGAGGAGGGGCTCCGTGTGGCTGTATACCAACTACGTTGAACTTCTAGCATCTACAGCAACATCAGCTACACAACACACACGCGCACGCACAGCCACACGCACATGGGCACACACAGAAGAGACAAGTGCATCTGTACAAGGTCAAGGTGACAGGTCACAAGGTCAACCAGGGTCAGCCAGGGTCACACAGCCTACCGCAGCGCGCAGTCGAGCGGCATGGTTCAGCACCATTTTCTTTAATTTGATAGTTGTTCTCGATCTTTCCCTTAGATGGTCATGTTGATGGTATTATTATCATTATCATTCTTTCAGGGCATTGTTACTGGATATATTGAAGCACTTTTTTCTGTCTGCGCTGAGATGGAGTTAACACAGACATAACGGTTGTTTTTGTTATTCGGGTGTTGTTATACTACTCGACTCACGCCGCAGACGGCTGATGACCTTCGCCAAGACTGTTTGCACCGAAGGGAGCTGGAGGTTAAGATTGATCTAAATTACGTCTACAAGCAAACATTTTTTTTGTGTGTCTTGTTACAGATATTCATTTTTAAATAGAACAAAACGTAGGAAGTGCTTGAGGCACGGAGAACTCGGGCGCAAGCTGGTAAGGAAAACAAGATTAAATGATAGAAAGGACAGCATTGAGAACCTGTTGGCTTGAAGCAAATAACCCCCGAAACATTCAGATCGCCAGATGGTAAAGACACAAATCATTGACATGATTTATGATAGCGCAGAGAAAAATAAAATTTCAAACACTTTAGAGACAAAAAAAGGGGGGATATTTGTTTATGTGTAAATTCTCAAGTTTGGTAAGCACACTCACTCCAACACAAAATTGACAATTATTTTCAGTTGGTTTTAAAGAAATAATGAATGTACAAATGACTGAAAGAAGGCATTTTAGTAACAAGACTCTGAAGACTCTGGTAGACACTACAAAACCCCAATATTTCAACAGAGTGAAAAAATATAAATAAATAAGTTGCCACGTCATCATGGAAACAACAACAAAATAATTAATGAAAAATTGGGATCAACCACAAAGTTCTCTTTGAACTGAAACAATATTTTCAGATAAGACAAAAATGTAATATTTCTTCATCCTTCCTCTGACAAACCATCCCTTCTCGATACTAATGATATAGTAACGCAGAAGGGCCTCTTTAGCATTCCGATGTACGACATTTAAGTGTTTAGTACAACCAATAAGTTACAATGAAGTAAATTCTTCACTCTTGTATCTAATGCCGTTACATATCTAAAGGTAATATTCTTCATCGTGGTATTCGGAAGTAAAAATCAAGCTCAAAAGAACGAAATCAAAATCCTAAAATGACAATTGGTTTAAAACACTTTTGTAATAATGTCATTCTAAAAGTGTTCACTAAAGGTACGGCTCGCACTGAAAGCATACTCAGATAGTAAATATTCAAGCTTCTCTTCCAAAATTTTCTTGTACATTTTTTTTACAGGGGGCGAACTCAAACCGCTGTATACAATCTAAAGTCCGCAACCCCCCCCCCCCTTTACACCTGAAAAAAAAGGTTTCTTCAGTAATTTTATGCCCATAACTTGGGTACCGTAAGGTCAGAACACCCCAAGTGATCAAAAAATACATTTTGTGTTTTTTTTCCATTGAGCATAAAATGCAACACCAAAGAGATGTCTAAATATAATATTTTCTGGAGAAGCTTGAAAGTTTCCCGTCTGAGTATGCTTCACGTCTGCTCGTGGGGTTCTGTGCCTCGAAAACTTGTCCGGACATGGAGTAACTAGTGGGTGTGGGAGGTCAGAGTTCAACTTTCTACTTCCGCGGGTTCCTCTGAGGCGCCCTCCTCTGCATCGGCCTCTGATTTTTCTTTCGGTTTCAGCTCGTCCCGCCAGTGAGGGTTCTTCTCGGGCTGAAAGGAAGGACAGAAAAAAAGAAAAGAAAAGGTATCAAACAAGCGGTCGCACCAGTCATTCCTAATGAAAGCTCAATAATGTGTGATGTAATATCAATAATGTGTGATGTAATATCAATAATGTGTGATGTAATATCTACAGGCAAATAAACAAACTTAAGCACAAAACTAAAGCCATAACAACGATGTTATAGAAATTTTAGATATTTTTAAATAGACTTTTTGGATAAGTAGAAATTATTGGAGATTTGAAGTGTTAATTTAGGTTACTTTCACGTTTATCAAGTCATGAAAAAATTAATTAAAGATCACAGCAATGTATTTGTTTTTTTAGAAGTCCTCATACATACATACATAACATACATACAGAAGTGTCACACATTTTATTTTTACGTCTTAGTATTTCGCAAGAGTTTGTTAAAGTGAAGCAGAACTCCAACCTAATTATAGAGAGGAGGGGAAAAAGGCGACACGAAAACTGACCTAGTAATATTATTATTATTCTGAGCAAAGTAGCTGAACTTTTAACAGGTAAACATTCATCATGCACTGGTTTTTAATTAATGAAAAAAAAATCACTTTAGCTTTCTTTTTTATATAAAAAAAAAATTAAAACAGTAGGCGCACCGTCTACAGTGTATTGCAAAGCTGCCTGTCTGTTCGTTCTAGTGATGTTAGCCTTTGAAGAAAGCCTTTAATACCGAGTGCACACTGTCAATCAAACTCATTTTTTTCAGTCGAAGTCAGCCAGATTTTCCTCTATGGGGCAAAAGCTACCATTTCGGCATGATTCGAACCGAATTCAGTAAACTCGACTGTGACATTCGAAATCAAACACGGTTATGTTTTCAAAGTCGCCACTCGAAGCAGTCGTATTACATGTATAGTTTCAAAATGGTAGCTACTAGCCCGTCCATCAAGAAATATCTGGTTGGCTTCGACTCGATTCGATGGAAGCCAATTGGCAGTGTGCACACGGCATTAACTGTCAGAGGAATACAAACAGGGGCCGGGAACAGAGAACGGAGGCAGGCCTGACTCAAGCTTCAAGTCAAGACTTAGGTTGTATGACAAACAGCAAAGCTTATTATTATGTCAATGTGACAGTTTGATTTGTTGTGTTAACGACAACATAAAGTTTCCAGAGACAAGCAAAAAAGATAGAAATATTATTATAATATTATATGGCGGCTGTGGGTCAGCTGGTTAAGTTAAGTCTGCAGTTTTATATCAAAAGACAGTAAATCCAGTTTCGTAAATTTTTAGGAGAAAAAACAACAACTAACAACCAAAAAAAAAAAAAAGCCACCAGAAAATAACGCCAACGAGTAAAACATATGAATACTATATCTTCAAACAGGTTTGCCCCCCCCTCCCGCTTTGTTTATCACGATATGGACTCCAGACTAAGGCAGAAATCCGCGCCGTATTTTAAACTATCAGTATCAGTTGGAATCGATAGCTCAGTTTTTAGTCCAAAACTGGATATGCTGTCTTTTAAAATTAAACTCCAGATGTGGAGGTTTCATTGTTACAGGGTTCGAGTGGTTTGGTCAAGTTCTGTCCAACTGGACACAGAGTTTAGCAGGGGCAAGAAATTAGGCCTTCTTCTGTTCTTTCTTAACCAGAGACGTGCATTATTTGATACATCAAGTTTGATGAGGGCATTATGTAATAGACCTAATTAGGCGCATGTTTTTGACTCCTGGAAACGTTAATCTGAAACAAAAGAATCTTTTCTCTGAATTTTTAAATTTGTCACATCTTTGAAAAAAGGATGATAGTATTTCCAGTCAGGTTTCATCCACAGGAATCAACTATTATTACAAGGGAAATTGTTTAAAATGCATTTGAAAACCCCCCCCAACCTAAACAACAACAACAACACATCCATGAATTTGTCATGAATTTGTTGCAATAAATGTAATTGTAGATAAAATAAGTGATACTGTATGCTTACATGAGGTAAAGTCAAACAACAGGAGTAAAATAAATGGGTGTTCTGCCCGCATAACGAAATCTTTATAATCAAGACAATTTCCTCATACACCAAATAACCCCCCCATCCCTCCCCCCCAAATAATAAGATTTTAAATATCGCAATTTTTTAATTAAAATTTTTTTTATTTTTCTATATTTACAAATATGTCACAGAGAAAGCATTTGATTAGTTTACTGAGAAAAAAGCAAGCTGTAGACATTTATTTACTGATAGAGTCACGAAGTCGATTACACGAAGGGGACCATAGCAAACAGGGTAAAAACGGGCGTATTATTTTTTCTTTTTTGTGTGTGTTTTGTTTCGAGGTTGAAGGCAAGGGCAGTATGGTTGGGGGGAATTATTGTTCTGATTTGAACCAAAGTGTTAGTAGAAGATAACGATACTATGCGGGTTGACGTGAGTTTTGCGTGTACGGAAGCATTCCTTTCTGAACGTGTCATGTTTTGTGTTATGATTACAGGTTACACATAACGTCAACAGAGTTCTGGTTACATTGATGGGTGCGTATGCATAGAATGTAGACATGTTCTACCTCTGTTTCTCCCAACCGCAAAAACATGGGGCGCTCTCAATGGTGGTGGAGGGGCTGAAAATATGGTTATACTGTAGCATGCTCCTTCACACACACAGGCTCTCCGTGCTCAGCAAATGGCTCGAGGACTATCCTAATTTCTTCTAGATCTACACCGACAAAAAGCAGCGACAAAAAGCAGTCAGCTAAATCTAAGTCAAGAGAAGAATTACCCAGTCATCCCCTCCCCTCCCCTACCACACCAACTTTCACTTTACTGCTTTGAGTTTTCTGATAAACACATCTGTTTAACATTTTAAAAAAAATCATTATCATCAATATCATCATCAACATCACCATCGTTTAAATAATTATTTTTCCATTTAGAAGCTAATTTAAAAAGTAGAACAACCTGTCCTTTAAATATTAGTTTATTTCAATTATCCAAAATCTAAAATGTGATATAAAATGATATCTAAAAAGTTATAAATATAGACTGAATGTGAGCTGTTTTCTTAGAACAAAAACCTCAGCAAACAAACAAATAAAAAGTTATATGGGAGTGCTGATCTATCTCGAGCCATCATCGAGCATATCGGAAACATTTCAACCAGTGGAGTAAGTGCAATCAAGGTGTATGAGATTAAAACATAACTTTCTAAATTAATGTAATACAAACAAGACCCATGTTTGAATACAATTTTCATAGGCGTCACATAGTTTCAGAAAGGAGGGGGAAATCAAAAGATAGATTTTGTCCCGTCTTACAGCACTATAAGTATAAGAGTGTGATATATATATGATTTAATATTTTGATTTGGGGGATTGATGGGTAGGGGTGGGTTGAGGTGGAGAGGTGAGGGTCAGCAAAAAAAAAAGAGGACACAAAGAGAGGAGAATAATGTGTATGTATGTTTTGGGGGGGGGGGGGGGGGGTGCGGAGATGTGAGTATGTGTGATGTGCAGAAAAAAGACGTGGGGGGGGGGGATCCGATACAAACAGTTTCCCCTCTTCCGTCTAGCGGATATAGCAAGAGTCAGGGGTGGGGGAGGGGACAATTTCATAGTGACCCCTTCCCCTCTTAAGAGTTGAGGATCAAATTTAACATCAGATATAATATCTTAACCCCTAGGGACAAGAAGTAGTAATAAAATGTATATAATTCTTCTTTTTCTAAATTCAGAGGGTCTGGTTTATATGCCTAAAAAGAAACAGGCAAGGCTAAGCACAACCAAATATCTAAGACTAATAACCACATCAAACGAAAGACGACTAAAATTCTAGTACAGAGCAAAACCACTGGTTTAAAGCTAATGGTTTTGTTCGAGATACGTATTAGGAATTATGTAGGAATTATGTCATTATTCAACTGGCTAGCTCTACTCATAATGAGGAGTTTACGACGTATCAGTTACCGCATTTTGCTTCTTCTGGGGGCAATTGGAAGAGAAAGAATTTCGCACTTGTTAGCATTATGAAATCTATGAAATCATCAATGGAACATTATTATTAAGCTTTGAGAAGAACGAATGAATAAAGAGAGAGCACATTGCAGTATTTACAGTTTACCACTTAACAATTAATTTGCAAGCCGATAATATGATAAAACAATCCACCAGCGACTATGCAAACTAGTTGAAAACAATTGTGCAATGAAAGGTATTGTGTATGTAAAGATAAAATCAAACAAAGAAATAAGCACTCTCTCATTGTCTCGAAACGCTAACAAAAGAGCACAAACAGAAAAAAAAATCAAGTCAAAAGAAAACAAAGAAAAGAAAAAAAACAAGATGGCCGCGAAGCTTGGACCAATCATCGTACCTCTTCCTCGTCGAGAGCGTACTTGTTCTGTCCGGTAGACTTCAAGTTGCCTCGGAAATCTGTGGACTCCTTTGTCTGCAGTTTCTTGAGCCTGGAACAATACAACGACAGTCGGTGATGGTAACGGTTTAAAAACTTATTTGTTATAACTGTCACATTATCGTCACCATGTTCATTATTATCACCATTATTGCAGTAGACAATATAAAATGAAGACTTGGATTACATTTTGACGATTTTAAGGTAGCTAAAAATGAGGTTCAACATTTCGCTCGTTTGGCATTCTCATTATCATCATCATCTTGCACCTGCAAAACAGTTAAGGCAACACAATAATAATAATTATTATTGTTTAAGCTGCCACTGGCAACTTTCCCAAAGTAGGAGGCTGTCCCCTAAAAGATACTCACTTGCTCTCTGTCTTGTTGACTTTCCTAAGAACAGGCTTGATGCTGAGGAGAGACAAAGATGAAAATGTGAACTTGGAGGGGAATGAGAGGGTGGAAACACGAAGTTCGCTAACTTAAGAGAAATCAGGTCCTTTAGCATAGTTACCCCATTCCCTAGCCATCCTTACTTTATTTCAGAAAAGAGAAATAAAGAAAAACTTTATATGTTTCTAATCTAAAGTACCCAACTTCCTCTCTCTCGCTGTTAAAATGTACTTGTAATCTGCTGGAAATGTAAAGAAAATTATTTGAATTCTAAAAAGAGCCAGAAATTATGAAGTAACAAACGAGATCTCATGTGGCTTCCCATCCCAAACAAAAACGAACAAAAGTACAGAATCCCTCCCCCTCCCCCCAAAGAAAAGGACCGTAGAGTCAAAAACATGAAGGATTCAGAAAGTCGGCACTTACAGTCTATGAATCAGAGAAACATAACCTCTACTGGTGATGAAAGACTTGACACAAGACAGACACACAGGGGGAGGTACAGACCTCAGGTACTTACAATTTACCCTTGGTGTCGTTCACTTTCAAAGTAAGTTCGTTGATCTGTTGGTGAGGAAGATACGGTTAGGATGAGTAAGAGTTTTGGATAACTAAGAAGAGATTTTGTTAGGTGACATGATAAGTAATGCAACATTTTGATAAGCAAGGTGAGGTTTTGATGAGTAGCATGATAAATAAGATGGCATTTTGGTTACGGGGTTTTGGACAAGTAACATGAAAATTCTTGAGCGAGAAAGATCAGTCTGTGGAGAAGTAAGACGATATTTTGGTGAACAAGATGGGGTTTTGGATGAGCTTATGAATGAGTAAGATGAGGTTTTGGATGAGTGGGATGAGGTTTTGGAAAAGTGAAAAAACGAAAAAAGTGCAAGATCAACATCTAAGTCTCATCTCGAAATTCTATTTGCTGAATTTGCTCTTTCGAACAACGTACGCTAATTTTAAAAAACAACATTAACTCAACCTGATCACAAATAAAAATAAAACCCAACCAACTAAAATACAAGATCAATGTCCAGGTCTCACCTCGAAATCCTGTTTGCGGATCTTGATCTCCCAGTCGTAGACGTCCTCCTCCAGGCTGGACACACGGGCGTGGAGATCCTTGACCAGTTGCTGGAGCTCGGCTGGTGAGTGGACACAAACAAAAGTCAAGGTCACAGTAAACATTTACAGAGGTCAGGGTCAAAGTGGACCAGGGAGAAAGGTCAGGGACAAGGTGGGCTAAACATGAACGTCTTGAAAAGGTCGGACTCAAACATACACAATCTAAAACTGTCGTCTCAAGCTTCTCTTTTTTATGGAGAGAAATTAAACAGATGATACTTTAACTGTAGCCCCTATAAACTAAGATCAAAGTAGGACTAGTCTATACTTATTCAGCAGGAGGAACTTTCCCTGCAGGATAACACAGAGTTTAAATACTAATGTATCGTCAGCACCATCTACAAGAAACATATATCAAAATTGCGTTCTTGGTGAGTAGAAATTAAATAGGAAAGCCCAAAATTAAAACATTTATTTTCTGCTCCTCTGCTGTATAACGGACTTTGTACATTTAGCTGAACTGACAAAAATACGAAAATAACGCTGATAAAGGACAACATTAGGGTAAAAGTACGCTATAAGATCAGCAAGAAGAAAGTATGGGTAAGGGATTCCAACATTTAGACAAAATAACATTTGTGAGGTGTGCTGACAAAATGAGTTACTTCTCGGATTTCACCTTTATGGAAATTGATACATCAACTTGATAGGTGAAGTTTGTACAATTTGTGAGCATGGAATAGTAAAAGACATAGTAAACTTGAACAAAATGGCATCAATTGAACATCTATAAATCTGACCCCAGTGTCGATTTTCAGCCGATATCTCCATTCTTGGGTCGTGAGAAGTAACTCATTTTGTCAGCACATCTCACATTTTTTACTGACAGCATACATGCAATAATGTCCATTGTGGCAGTTTCATAAAACTTGTTCATCATTAGGTACCATGGCGCCTTTTCTTGATTGAGGGAATTCCTTCTCCAAAGTGTTTAGAAGTGCAGTAACGCAAACAATGTGCAGCATAATTAGTTACACAAGTGAAGTATGGTACACATCAAACGTTCGTAATTTTCTGAGATCAGAATGTTTGAACAGGACCAAACTCCGAGCGAAAATAATCTTTCAAAGCGTCCTGAAGCATCAATCTTTTCTTGAGATTCTCACTTGGGGGAGGGGGG